ACAGTAGAAAGCGCGTTTCTTGCTCCTTCTAACACTTATTGTTCTTCTTCTTTTTTTCTTCCTTATCTTCGCCAGTGTCCCGCGGGCGCGGGATCGGCGGGTTGCATTTTTGTTTCCATTTGACTCGATTGGCTGCTTGTTGTGGTGCGAGGTTTGTAAGGGCGCCTTCATACCGCGCCTGCAGCAGCCGCCAGCAGCCCCAGCCGCCACTGGCTTTTGTTATGGAAGCGCAAAATCATCAATCTTACTACTTTGTGGCGCCCGCCCATGCTTTCCTCTTCCATGCTTCTTTCTTCCTATTGCGGCTAATATGCAGTTCCACTCTCACACATTACAAGGTTATTCAAGATAAGCACCGGCCAAAGATATGATTGAAACAGAAGCATGCATAGAGAATAAACACTGCAGGAACTAAACGCATCGAAAGTCCGACGGAATCACATCGCGAAGAAACTTTGGCGAAATATGGTTCAACTGCGAGAGGGAAACTGAGCACCAATAGGATAACCAATGTACAGCAACACGATAATAACAATAATGAACACAAATATGATATATGAGATCGAATTGCGACAACAGGAAAGGAAAAGCGTGGAAGATGGAAAGCATGGGCGGCTGCACTCAAAGTAAGATTGGTGATCTTGCGCTTATATGAAAAAAGCGGCCAGCGGCGGCTACGGGCTGCCAGCGGCGGCTGCCATGAATGGTATGAAGGCACCCTAATGTACAGCTCGTTTTGAATGGTGTCCAGCCACGTTGCTTCAGCCGCTCGCGAGCTCTTCGTCCCTGTGGAACTAGACGAGGCCCTGTTTTTGCCACTGTATTATCGTCACTCCGTAAAACGTGACCGTACCATCGTAACCTTGCTCCACGCATTATCTGCGATTGTAGCAACTCCGAAAATGTGCCGGACGGTGTTCGTCACGCAGTTTCTTCGCGTAAGGCCAAATATCTATCTTATGCGCGTCTCTATCGTGCTTAGGATCTGCTCCTGTTTCTTGCTGAATGGCCAACACTCTGCTCCATACAGGGTTACTGGTCGTACCACTATGCAATATGCTTTTGCTGAGATACACTGGAATTCGACACTCGCAGAGTAATCCCGTCACTTAACGCCACTGCAGCCAAGCCTCATTCATCTCAGCACGGGTATCGGTAATCGTTTCGCAATCCGACGTTACACGGGCCGTATAAAAATAGTCACTTTCCTCAGCGGCTATCCATCAATGCTGATTATTCCGTTGGTTTGCTCCCCACATTTTAAGTACTCAGTCTTTTCGACGTTCTCGCAGCCAATTGGTACATCTCTTAGCGATAGCGGGTCCTTCCAGCTCATCATAAAGCTTCTCAAAGTGCGCCTCCTTTGCTTCAGCTACTACACGCATTGCTCTCTAGTTCAGCTCCCAATAAACGGAAATCATCGCTTGCATGAGTGCTCTACCACATTCTAAAGGTTCCTTTCTTCTTCCTAACGACTTGCTGGACTGACTCGGACCACTACCAAATCTGCTTGTCGACGAATCGGCGTCCAAGCTGAGTGAACCCAAGATCTCCTCGGCCCTCGATCGTAGCTCTGCGAAGGAATCTGATTCCATCTGTCATCAATCGATTCTCCATCATCAGTCGACAAATCCAAATTGTTAAATGCTTTCCTGATTCGCTGGCCTAAGTCGTATGTTTCGGCGGCTTTTGAAATGCGTTTTCCGTCCTTATTCTTCTGACCGTAACCATTTCTTCCGTGGCATCGATTGAAAACGTCATGTGCGTGATCACGGTGTCCGTTAAGATCGCCTCCTACGAATATCTAGTCTACTGCATCAAATGTTCGTTGCAGGATATCGTCCAAAATGCGTCCTTCTCGGCATCGGTGCATCCGGGTTGAGGACAAAGCAGGAAACTACTCGGAGTATGATGTTTTCTGCTTTGATGTTGATTGCCATACTCTGTCTAAAATACGCGTCACTTCGGTCACCAACTCGCGGTGTTCACCGCTGACGATGATTGCTACATCGATCTGTAGACTGGTTTTCCAGTACACTAGAGTCGGTATCTCCGCTGAAATCCTTGGCTTGCCTTCCCTTCCATTTTATTTCTTGCGCACAGCGATGTCGATGGGTCGCTCCTTCAATCTAACGCATAACCAGGGTCAAGCGTGTTGATGCGATCCTGGACCCTCATTTACGACCCCCCCTTGAAGGTACCCATCCGTACGACCCCCCCCCCCCCCCCCTCCTCCCTCCCTCCCCCTCCCCCATCCATCCCTCTTACCTCCCCTGCCCACATTTCTCGCGGTAACCTGCATAAACAAATGTCAATCTCAAAAAACACCTGCGTGAGAAACAGTGAGGTTCCGGAAGCAGAATTTCCAGGCCAATGGGTGCGCCAGCATCTCTAGCACATATATACACACCTTTAATAATGTTTGAGATTCTGCAAGTTTACTTTTGAATTTTCAGGCATACTTCAGGCCAGCAAATTCGATTCCCGTATGCGACACAAATTTTACACGGAGGACAAAATGACATTCTTGAACTACAAAAGAATGTTTTCGACTAAGAAGCTCAGTTCTTACCTCTTCCACAGTTTTTCCTGCGAAAAAAAGCGCTTTAGCGCCGTCCAGAACGACGTCAAAACGTGCATGAGCACGGTAGTTTGAAAATTCGTAACTAAGGCCAGGAAAAGACTGAGAGGCTGCAAAGAACAGGTTCTGTAGCATAGTGCCCAGAATATTCATAGAAAAAGTTTCAGCCCTTGAGGAGCAGTGAGCTCGAAAAAATTTAGACCAGGCTCTCGCAAATTTAGATGCGATCCTAAAAAGCAAAAACTGGGCTTTTGAGCTTAAAATTTTGTAACTTACCAGAGAAGTTATAAAACAGTCTGAAATTCTTATGATAAAAACTAGAGGGATGGCCTCGCATTCCAGCAATTTTGCAGCTAACAAGCTTCAATAGCTCCGGAGAAATTTAGATCAGGCGCAGATACGACCCACCCCCCTTTCTCTTTTTTGCTACCATACATAAAATCATAGGAAAATTCGCAGTTTATAAAATAACACCAGATTTCGCACAGCAGTAGCAGGGCTTATCCAAAGTACATATAAATTGTAAGGGCCGCATAAATGGCATTACAAAAAGAAATACGAATTATTGATTGTCATCGTTGATCTACATGTGCGCTTATGTCGAGTGTGCGAGTCTTCAGTGAGCCTTTGAAAGGATGAAGTCTACACCAATCGGTACATCCAGCATCTTTATCACACATACATGCCTTTAGTAGCCTTTGAGCTTCTGAAAGTGTTTATTTTTTGGATTTCAGTCATCCAGCAGGGCTCGATCCCCGTTGAGACAATATTTTGCGGGAGAATTAGCGATTCCCATAAAAAAAAACTAAGTCATAATCTTTCAAAAGTGCAGCAAATGAAGCGAATTACTACGCTTGCAAATGTTTTCAAATTATTGTTCTCGTTTTTATTCATTGGTACACGGCATTCCATGAATTTATTGTTAAGAACATGTAATAATTGCTTGCTATTTGATTTGCTTTCAATCGTAAGGTTTTTTATCCAAACTACCCCCTCTTACGACCCCCCCCCCTCACCGTAGGCCCCCTTTACGACCCCCCGTTGCGACAGTCGCATCACACGCTTGACCCTGCGCATAACTCTCGGCTGCGGCTCGTTAGCGTTCCTATGTTGATCGCCGCTAGTCAAACTTCCTGGAGTCGCTTCTTTGGCTGGTCCTGTCCGGGGGCAGGTACCCTTAGCTCACTATTCGCGCCATTCGGGAATGATGCGCGCTGCCTCCGGGAGACGCCCTAGCAGCTTGATGAAAATCCTCAATAGTCCGATGTATGTGACAGACCAATTCGTACAGTCCCCGGCGCGTCGCTCCGCCTGACGGGACAGCGCCCTCGTCGTTTGCCGGGGTTGATCCCCGTTGCCAGCCGGCACCGCGGGGATGTGACAATGGGACTTTCCGGCTCTTTCTAACACATGTCGTATAAAAAAATTTCCCAGTCTGATGAGATTGCAGGCCTATAATCTTGGATGGTCAAGATACGTTTTCAGCTAAGACAATGTTCTTGCGAGAGTATCTTCACGATATGCCATCCAGCCATCCAAGTTAAGTCCTCATATTGGTCATGGAATAAGGGTGAACAATCCAGAATATGCACAAATTCACTTTCATGTAAAAAAAGACGTCTTATTAGTACAGTTTGTTGTTGAAGAAAAAAGCTCTCAAGCATAACTCCCGTAAATAGAGGCAATCGATGAGTCCAATGTCCAGCCACCAGTTAATTCTCACCCCTAGGGGCAAGTTTAACGATAAGATTCTCATAATTTAAAAGTTTTTGAAGTTGTAGTGAAACGAGGTTGAAAAATGGCTTCATTCTTGTTCGGTCAAAGAACCCCTCTCACGAAGATCCTATGGGCACTTTTAGGCTGTAGGAATACTCTCAATATTTTCCTATTTACCCATGGCTATTTAGTGTACCTTCTCATAAGGGGGAGCACTGCCATGTTCAAAAAAGATAGATTAAAACGTTGTATTTGACTTCTTGCTTTTTCTTTAACAGGGTTTTTTGCAAAAATAGTACTCCCCTGACAAAAAAACAGTTGAACAATCAGAAACTAAGATTATGGAAAGTTGAGTCGCAAGAAGTTAAGATATCTTGAATTTGGAAGTTCAAATCGGATATAACTTATGCAGCAACGGATACTTGCGATATTTACGGAAAGGATGACAATGGCTTGGGCTTTCTCAAAGCGTATTCACTACGTAACAAGACTGCGGATCAGTGTGCAATCTGGCCAAAGAGTTAGCGTTGATAAAGGGAAGTTGGCGTAGTACTATGAGGAGGTTCTATGAGCGGATCAAATGGATAGTTGACCGCCCTGCCAATTAAGTCTTCCAGGGTCAATAAAGTGCAGCCAGAGTATAGTGAAAAAGCTAAAACTCTGCCTTGTTGACTCACTGCTCCCTACCATAAACTGGAAGGAATTAGCACATACTCGTGATGGTGAGGATCTTTTCTTCATTCTTCATCGTTTCGGAAGACGCAGTATAAGACATTTCCGCCATTTCCGTCATTTCCGTACCGAAAATTCCTAATAGATTGAGAACAAAAGAACTTTGTTCTCTTATCGGTGGCAATAGTATCACAGGTGGTGATTGACGGCTTCTAGTTTATGCTTCTAGGTGATATTCAATTTCACATGCATATTGATAGGAATCGATCTTCGTAAGTCCATAAATTTTTGGCTATAGCGTCTTTGTTCACCAAATTGAGAGTGCTTTATCCTACTTTTAGTGCGATGAACAACAGTAAGCTTCCAATGTAAAGATAGTAGGGGATGTGGTATCAGTGTCTTTGGGCTTTATTTGCACAATATTACAAACCATCAAAACTATTCTAGTTCCGCTATAAAACAGATTTGATCGCAGTAAGCATAAGAAGGGAGAATGATATTGACACTTGATCCGATTTATTGCACAGGTCCTTTTTGCAGCAGCATTTGGTAACGCCGTTCTTTGTTAGGCAACTTTTCTGAAATATTGAGCTAACCTTTGATTCAAGTGGTTTAGCTTCAGGAAGGCGGGGCGTTGTGACCTAACCAAGCCAGTTGAATCAAATGGTGCTACTTCACCAGTAAAAAATGGGCTTTCAAGGAAGATTGAAAGAATATCATGGAAGTAGGAAAAATCGCGTTTTTGATGAAATTTATGTCTGATGCGACGATGGAGTCGTTTGTCGTAATGAGACAAAAAGTTTTGAACTTTGGTGCTCACCTTTGTAGGACTCCTACGCCTGCGTCTTCTTTTATATCTTCTTTTTCGCTTTCCTTTCCCACCCTTTTCCAAGATCTTTAGACCAAAAATATCCAAAATACTTTTACGGCATTCACTCCATTCATCACAACCGTATATATGTACAGCATCATTGCCAGATTTTCGAGTTTTTCTAAAGATCAAAAATAAAGAGAGAAGTATATGCAATTTTGAATTCAACGTGAGGACCTACTTCAGGCAGTATTTTGCCGACACACATAATTCTGTGTTATTTGGCTTTTCATGGTTCTTTGTTTCTCCTGTGAGCAGTAATTCGAAAAAAAAATTCTGCTTGTCATCTCCGTTAGAAACGAAATATCAAAATTCTTACCTACGTAACACCTGAAAGCTAGCACGCAAGCGATAAGACAAAAAAATAGTGAGGGCGTGATGATGTGAAAACATTCTGAGGAAAACATTTTGGGAAACAGGGAAACATTTTTGTGCTTACCATTTATAGGATAAATTGTTTACCCAATGAATCATCAAACTTTTTAAGAAACGTTTTTTGAATGCCTGTATTTGTACGTTAACCTTTTTTATATCTATCACTGTCCAGCACATACGTTGGAACTCAAAAACAAAATTTACCCGTCGTTTCACCGTTTGACTAGCTAAAAATTAGATTATCTGAGCTAGATGTTGGAAATCATGAGAATTCCGCACGCTGCTCACCATAGCTTTCGTTTTTCTTACCAGTGATGCATAAAATCAAGCTTGTAATTTTTTGCTTTCACAAACGAAAAAGAGACAGAGTAGCTGAAATTCTGAAAAGTGAAAAAGAAAGAAGGTACCACGTGGCTTACAAGGTCGTACCACTTTGGTTGCTTTGTTTCATTTATGAACCAACAAACATGATGGAGCAGTCCCTGGCAAGGACAGTGTGTAGATCCACTATGAGAAAAACCTGTATACTTGCAGGACACAAAAACGCATAATGCACTAGTAGACAAAGTGGAATTTATGCGACTCTATCGTGATTATGAACCTATGTCAAATACTGCAACTATATGTGGGTATGCTCAAAAGCAAGTCATAAAACATACATTGGAGACCAGTTCATAGGTTCTGTATTGCAAAACTTGTACAATGAAGGTATCAACGAACATGTGGTAGTGACTGTTGCTGATTGTCTTATCTATTATTTAGAAAGTTCACAATGGCTCTATGATGTGATTCCCTTCTGTCTGCAAAAACCTGGCATTGTAGCGTGACCAATTCATTACTAGAAAAGACTCTTTTGGGATTTAGAGGTAACTATTTTTGTAGAAGGGACCTTGCTGTATCAAAAACTTAGATATGCAATGTGGAGACAAATGAGTTGTCCCATCAGTCCCTAGAGTTTTCAACCTCGTCCTCGTTTCTTTGAGAAGCGGTCGAATTGCGGCAACATGCGCATATTAGTGGAAGAGCTGATTCTGCTCCTTGAGAAGAACTCAACAACTTTGAGCGAAAGCTGACTTACTCGATTTTTCAGCTATCAAATATGGAATTTTCAACGGCAAAAAAGTACTTTCTACATCTGCTTGGTTTTCCTTTATAAAAGAAAGCGTTATTGCATAGATTTCTGACCTTATGGGAATTGGTGCTCTTACGAATATGAGACTAACGACGGTTGGATTGCCTCAAAAGTAATAGTTGTACAGCAGTGGCGTACCCAGGATTTCGGCTCGGGGGGGGGGGGGGAGGGGGCGCGACAAAAATTTTTTTCTAAAGAAGGTGCGTGGCGTTAGCCACGCACTCCGAAAAAATTTTTGGGGTGCTTCTCAAAATTTTTCCGGGTCCCCGACCCCTAAAATCTGGAAAAAGGGGGCGTGGCGTCAGCCACGCCCCCGAAAAAAAAATTTTTATAAGGCTAAAATGAATTTTTAAAAAATTTTAAAAATTATTTTAATTATTTACAAGTAAAAACAAGTCACTTGCACATTTTTATAACCCATGTAAGTAACTTTCAAAAATTTCGCGACCCGTTCTCGGGGGGGGGGGGGGCGCGCGCCCCCCCCGCCCCCCCCCCTCGGTACGCCACTGTTGTACAGGCTTTTCCTGACAAGACTTTTCGTGGAAAGAGCAGGACGTTCTGCACTGCTGGACAAGAACAAAACAGCCGACTAATCTTTGTCAATTTTAGTGCATCATCCAAACGCATCCTTTAGCAAAAAAAGCCAAGTGAAAAAGTTTTTCTGCATAAGGAACTATGGCTCTGTACGGCAAACGCCATCAAAGCATCCTGCAAAACTTGAGGAGGCACATAACTATCCCATGTACTCGACCTCGCTCCATCAAACTCTCATTTGTCCCGCTCTTTTGCAACATATAAATAGAGCTTGTTCCAGTTTTGATTTCAGACGTTGAGACGAGTTTTTGGGACTAGACTCGCTGAATTTCAAAAAACAGAATATAAATTTGACGGCAAGGTGGCTAAAGTTCTGCGCAATAACGAAACATAGATTAATGAATAAAACATTTTGTTGATTTACGAAAACTCCATGGACTTATAAAACGACCTATCAGTGAACTTACACTCTGCCAAATGACGTGATTCTGTCACGTAAAAAACAGTAAAACTCTACCAAGTACAAATTTTCTCCAAGCAGAATTTTTTTGTTCCAACTAGGTATGATCATAACTAAGACATGCATACATTATTACTCAGCTGGTAAAGTGAATCTCTCATGTATAGTTTAATTACGCCGACCTCAAATAAAACTTTGAAAGCTTAGAAATCTGAAAGCTTTTTCTGCTCACAATGCTGCTAACAGGGAAGTGGTCAGAGTTCGGTTGGCGAATCCAAGCAAGCTGCATAGTATTAGATGCAGCATAAAACGCTGTCTCGAAATCTGTCTTCCCTGTCTGCAGAACGCTTTTGTGGATGAAGTTATAAGCCATTAAGGGCCATCATTTTGCTAGGAAATCGTGCGTGTAAACAAATTTGGCCGTATAGAGCCATGTTCACTTAATGTTAATCCAAAACATCCAACTGGATTACTTCAAATGGCCCATACCTAAAAACGAGCCAAACGGGCATTAGTAAGCTAATTTCGCAATTTTTATGCACGATATTTTCGCAGTAAGACTGCTCATAACTTCACTGCCTACAAAGACGTTTTGCGGAATAGATAAGAAAGGCAGATTTCGTGTCAGCGTTCTATTCTGCACGAATGGTATACAGCTAGTTTGGATTGGCCACTTCGACTTTTGACCATTGCCTTTCAACTAGGGCAGGTCTAAATATCGCACCCAAATTTGATGTCATTTCTTATTTACTGGCTGTCTTTACCGTCTCCGCTTTTCAATATGTGTGAAGCAAAGACAAAAGTTTTATATTCCCTCTCTCATGTTTTAGTATATATTCTCCTCAAGCTCAAAATCCTCTCTGTGTTTCATTCGGGGTACAACGTCTTATGGATAAGAAAATAAACTTTGACTGCAAATCCAATGACGTAAGCAATGATTACTCTCTACAAAGATGCGCAAATTTGATACTGTCCGTGAGGGTACCGTGGACTTACTACACATTTGAAGAAGCAGGATAAAATGTAAACATTGTAAATGCTTGAGAAAAAATTCATGTTGACAGTCTTAAGCAGAAAAGTTTGCAGCATATAGTAATGGCGTGCTCGAAGTCGGCCGTATCACTGAAGGCTGAACGTCTTTAAGGCTAAGCCTCTACAGAGATTGCTTGAGATACATTTGAACTGCAAAAGTCCTCAAGGCGCCAATGCTTTTTCTCGACGCGAGCGTTTAAGAAAATCTTCCGCTCAACATTTATTTCCAGAACTCTTATTCTTTTCCGCACCTCTTCAATACGCTGAGTTCGAATCCAAAATCTAAAATAGGGTGAAATTTCCAATTGAAATGCCTTTCTGAGTCCATCGCGACGAGAACTCCTTGCACCTGCCTTTCAGCCATGGGCCAGGTGCAGGCCGGCTACAAGGCAGAGGCGCGGACGAGCGCTGTGTTAATTGGGCTCTCTCGGAAGAACTGGTCAATTTTTTGACTTTAACGTTTGCTAGAGATATCAGAATGGGCGCAGAATTACAAACACTCCCCCCCCCCTCCTCAACTCAGTGGGGAGGAACAGGGCCCGGCACGCGTTGGTTTGAAGCGTTTCTGGAAACGAAGTCCCCCATGACTTCGCGAAAATTTACGAAGTCCCTCTTGACTTAAAAATCAGTAGGGAAACCCTTAGTTAGTCAAAATAACCTTAAAAAGCGAAAAAAGCGCATTTTGAGGTAACTAATACAACAAAAAAAGCAAAAAGAAAACATTTCGAGTTGATTAAAGGCTCTGTCATTGGGTAGTGTACCATTTTTGCGCTCAGAATGTTGAGAACCTCCTAAGCCAACCAAATCTGTGGCCTCAAAATCTGGCAGTGCATTTTTCGCCACATAGTTCAAAGGACACCGCGTGTGATTGGAGCGCAATATCTATCAACGCGTATAGATTTGCACTACTTTTGGCTCAAAAAAAGAGGAGAGGCAATAGTTTGATTCGCTCTCTTCACTATATACTAGATTTTTGAGCATTTTAATCGTCCAAATCAAAAAGGTCCAAAACTTATGTGAACTCTCCAATATTTATGCTCCGAACCAACCCAGTTGGTTTGGTAGTTGGTCTAGAAACCAACAAATTCGAGAACGGATATTAGGACACATAAGTTTTCGGAACTTTTTACATAACATAGTTTGGAGTAATATTGTATACTCATAGCCCAAATTCGGAGCCATGTGATTGTTTGTTGCGCTGTAAACAAGCCATTTGTTTGTTTGAGTCTTGCATTTGAAATTCGCGCGCTTGCGAAAGAACACGTTCAACTGTGAAACCTGACATGTTCGTCGTGTTTTTTGGCGCTTCCTCCAGGACTTCATAAAAACGATGTCCCCGTTGCTTCTAACTCCAAAAACGAAGTCCAGTTTGACCCCAAACCATCGGTGCCGGGCCCTGGGAGGAACCAAAGGCCTAGCCGGCAGTGTCCGCAGGAGATAATTAGAGGCGCGAGCACTGCGCCGGAGATTTGGCCATGATCCAAGGAAACTTGGCAGGAATCCATAAATGTTCTTAAGAAAACTTACCTCGTAACTTCGCTGGGGAAAACGCTAGAGACATAAGTGGGACAGTTTTGTAATCTGCGTTTTCAGCCGCATTTATAGGAGAAATGAAAGCGGAATTCTTTCATTCACAGTTAATCTTTGAATATGAATATCCTCAGAAAAACATTAGCTACGTCGAAGTACTTACATTCAAGTTTTAAGATTTTTGGGAATTATTGAATGTTAAGAAACCGAAGTCGTCAAATCGTGACGCTGAAAATCGGTAATAGAAAATTGAAGATCGGATTGTTCACGAAATCTTGCTCGAATTCAAATCAAGGACCATCTGAAGACCATAATGGTAAATCTACAACTTACAGAAAATCTTA